CAATTTACAATATTTAATGCTTTAAAATCCATTACTGAATTTTAAAGTCATGACAATATTATTTGCAAATTTTACTCCAGTTTGAATAGCATCAAACATGGAGTTAGATTTAAGCATATCAGAAATCATGTCAATTAATGAATTCTGTAAAAATTCCATTTTGGGGGCAGTAATGCTTCCTAAGTCAAAATTGTCAAAATTGTCAAAATTTCCGTTAGAACGTTGGTTAGTATTTTGATTTCTACCCGCTGCAATAGCAGCATAGGTAGCTCCATTAACTCGCTGAACATTGTTAGCAGCGAGGGGAGTAGGTACAGATGAAACATTTGAAGCAGCGGAGATATTTGTACCTACGGGTACGAATGTAGAATTTGTTCCTCGCTGACCGTTGTTAACAGCAGAGGAATTTGTACCTGCTCGGAAACGTGGAGCGTTTCCTACCTGACGGTTAGAACGAGATTGTAGGATCGCTTTGCGAGTCTTACATTCCCAAAAATTGGATTTGTGGTTTTCACCACAATTTGAACATTTAAATTTCTTAGGATCTTCCTTCACAGGACAGTCGTCCTTTGCGTGAGAGGAATCACCACAATTCATGCATTTAGCTGGCATGTAGCAATTTTTAGTTCCGTGACCCCATCCCTGGCACTTACGGCACTGAGTGAGGTTTTGGAAATTTCCTCCAGTCTTCCTGAAGTGTTCCCACTTCACTCGGACATGGAGCATAAGGCTAGCTTTTTCTAAGGCCTTAAGGTTGTTTAGTTCACTAGACTTGAAGTGAACTAAATAAAAATCATTAGAAATCCCGTTGCGCGAATCGCCAGGACGGGATTTCATTTTCATTTTGATTACTTGGAGTGGCACAACTCCAAGTAATTTTGTCAGTTCATCTTTGATCTGATCCAGGGATTCACCACTGGGCAGTCCTTTCATGACAACCTTGAACACACGTTCAGTTTTGGTGCCGTAAGTAAAAAATTTGTGCCTCTTCTCAGTAAGATACTTGAGAAGACATTTAAATCCGTCCAAGGTTTCAGCCAATACACGGCATTCACCCCGACGTCCAATTTGTAGTGAAAACTTAACTTTCACGAAATTCAAAAGTTCCATGCGAAGAGCATGGAAATCGGTAGTGGTTATCACAATAGGGGGAATCTTTTCCTTCTTGGCATTAAGCCGGGAAAGTTTACTAGAATTTTTCTTGGATGATGGATCATTCTCATCATCCGTGAGCAAATCAAATTGATTACTCAAATTAATTTCTTCAGAAGGGGGGTCAAGAGTTTGCCCCTTTCTTTTGCGTTTAGGCGCCATGGCGGCAGTAAATTTTTTATCCAAATCGACTTCCAAGCAGATTACTATAAGAATCTGAAGGATCGAAGAGGAATTTTCCAAATTGATATCCAAGAAGGATTACCTCGGGTAGGGTCCAAACAAGGATCGAAGAGGAATAAGAGGAGTTGAACAAGGTAGAAAATTTTTACAGGTTTAGCACTGAAAAGTGCTGTTTAAATTTGTTGTAGCTTTAGGTAGTAGTAACACTTCCTTCAGCAAAAAGCAAATAGATCCGCACGGCAAGAGAGCACGATGCGGACTGAAGTTCGAGTGGTAGTAAACGTCATTTCAACAGCTCGAATGAAGTGGTTAATTCCCTTGGATTTGTTTGACATTTAGAGATGGTGATCCATACAGACGGTATAGTAAACACAGACCGGCGGATAGAAATTCCGTAAAAATGGCAGCACGGTTATTTTTACATTATTTTTCCTATTGTCTAGCAACACTTGCAAATGCTTACGCATTGAATGACTCGTATTAAGTGCAGCAAGTTGTTATGTGAACAAACTTTAATTTTGGTTTGAAAATGAATTGTTTATATAAAGGTCCCTCCCCATGGACATGGAGGTTGACGGTACTGAAGCAAAGGGTTATGTTTAATTTCTTTATATTTGCAACGATGATGATTTCCCATAGTGACACATATCACCTTCTTAATGCTTCAGTATACCTCAAACGATTAATTCTTGGTTGTTAATAGAACTTCCTTGATGCAATCGGCTGCTTCATGCAGACTGAGCAATTCTGATTATAGTATCAGATTTGTTCTGTATACAGAGGAACTGGGAGGGCTTATTAGAAACTTCTCACCAATAAAGTAATGACCTTCTAGTAAATTTTGCATATCATTTTATTAATATTTTATTTTATTTAAGCATATTATTTTTGTTACAGTCAATTAGCATTAGCATACAATACAAGAGATTTATTATTACTTGCTCGGTTTTGCGTAAAATAATCAATGATTTTTTTTTTTTTTTTTTAATTTTTTTTTTTTTTTTTTTTTTTTTTTTTTGTGATTTCAAAATTTTCCTAGTTTGGTTAGAAGTTTCGAAGCTAACACATGTCCACAGGGCTAATAGAAAGATAGACAGACAAAGCGTATCATGAAGAATAGTTGCATGCAGGTTTTGCTTCCACTCACTTTCTATAGATGAGTGATTTTCGGAGTTTTGAATTCGTTAGATGTTGTAGTGGGGGTTTGTGTTGTTGGATGCGGGAGGAGATTGGAGGGCGGGTGTTTGACGCATAGAGCCTGTCAATTTCGTTTTCAGAGTGTCGCAGTCAGCGGTTTTATGATTCGTGAGTGCTCGCGATTCGTAGAATCATTGATTGTGACTGCCAGTGGATTTTGCGGGTTTTGTGTGTCGGACGCTTGCTTTTTGGCCTTTTCTTGTGTCTAACATGTGCAGAGTATCATTATAGCGTCTAATGGTTTTGAGATTCCTGGTTGCGTAAAATATACTTGTGAGAATATCTTTTTGAGATTTTAGTAGTCACGTTTTGTTTGTAGTTTATATGTTATTTCTTTCATGTAATTATCGTAAATAATAGTTATTCAATAATAGATAATTCATCCATATATTCAATAATAAATTTACGAATGACTATAATTTGGATACCTAACAATTGGACAGAATCACTAGCAAGAATAGGTTGTGTTCGCCTTCGAAAATATCGATTCGTTTTGTCAGGGTTGTAGTTTTGGTTTTCATCAGTGGCCCGGCTCTGATTGTGAACGATTTAGGTAGTATTTTTAGGTAACTATTTAGCTTTTAGCACAACTTTGCTACTACGAATCCACAAAAGACATTAAATTGGAGGCGGATTCTGGTATGGAATTACAGGCTGCTATTCTGAGCAACTTATCTTCATAAAATTAAAAATTACATTTAGGTATTAATTAGCAAATATGAATAGTAGTTAACTTTAACATAATTTTGATAAAACAATCATTTCATCCAGTTCACTTTAAAACAAACAAGTATGAAAGGAGATTGCTTAGAATAAAGATAAAAGTAATAAGCGCAATATTAAACGACATTAAATTTGAATCTGATACGGTAGGCCATATAACAGAGTCGATAGCCATCCCTAATAAAAAATAACCATAAACGAACGATAACCCATATCATTGAACTATTCCACAAATGGTTTGGATGATACCCAGAACACGTCGTTAAGCAAATTAACCATACAATTTTTATTAGGGATTGCAAATCAACCATCTCTACCTGCTTATTTTCCTAACTTTCACTATTATTGCTGTTACTCTGACTATCCCCTATGTTCAACAGCTTTCCTTACTATCCGTTATCGTAAACAGGATTCATTTGACCCCTGTGGTTATTATTCTGTGATGCCAAATCTATACCTCTACCCTGGTGCAGTATGGACAGAGATTTTTCGCTGGTGGCTTGGCCCTATGACCCCCTTCTGTGCTTGAAAATGAAAATGAAATGAAAATGAATTGTTTATATAAAGGTTGTATTAATAATTCCAGAGTGATTTGAGATTTGGGCGTAATTGCTTTTGTAAACAAACACGTTAATTACTGATTTCTCTTGAATAAAAGCTCAATCTCACATACAAACTATACCAAATGATAGAGGTATCATTCCTCTACGTCATAGTGTTATTACTTTTCGAGATTGAGCTTTTATTCGCGAGAAATCGGTGATTGACGTGTTTGTTTACAAATGCAATTACGCCCAAATCTCAAATCACTCCAAAATTCCCATCATGGCATAAAAAATGTTGGGTTTTTCCGATTCCCCGCAAAGAATGCCGGTTTATGGGTGATGTAAGATATTGTATTTTGCTTTGAAAATCAAAAACAAACTTGTTTTAAAATAAACAAACAAAAAGTTTTGTTTACTGATAATTTGTGGTTATTATTAAACCCAAATAAACACTGTTACCATCAATTTTAGATGTAAGAATCCATTCACTGCTCATATTGAAGTAAACAGCATAGCTGCAGACATAACTTGGAAATCCATATTGTTATGGCTGAAACGTAGACGTCTTTTTCCACTAATTGCGGTAAGCTCCAACCAGTATTATCACTGGGATTAAATCTCAATCACCAATTTCGAAAGACATTATGAAAAACTTATAACATTTTTTATCATTAAAAAACATAATAACGGAAAACCATGTTCGGGATTACAATACTCTCCACACATTATTCGTTTGTCCGTTTGGCTCAACATTTTGACAGTTCGTTTGGCTCCGCTAGATTCGTATCCGCCGGTCTGTGTTTACTATACCGTCTGTAGTGACCCAGGGGCTGAAAACCTTGTAAATAAAAGGAAAAAATTGCCCATTGAATCAAAGCCCATCCAAGCAACCTAACACCATCATCTGATAGAGCAAACTTCCTTTGTCGAATGACATTGTTAGTTTACGTGGGAGTGCTTTGATTCTCGAGAATTTTGTATTTAAAGCCATAGTTTACGTTTGGTTGTTCCGCCTATTTCAATTGTTGGTCTAGCATTTAGAGACTGTCTATAAACTAAAACTTACCATGTCGATCACATATTTTTAACCCATTTTAGCTGTTTCTATTAAAGGAGGAATTTAAATTCTTCAAAATCAAGGAACTTGACCAACACTGATTCCGTATACTCATCCTTTTGTTTTCTATTTGTATTTTCCAGTTGATTATTGCATCACTCACACCAGTACGGAAAGCTGCTTTTGTCCCATTTCAAAATGTATACCAGATCTTAGACGATCACCTCGACAGTGTAGCCCTACTAGTAAGACTGACAGTAAAGTGAAAAGGAAAAATGTGAAATTATCTCACCACGACTCAAGAAAGGTTTATATTGTTTTCAAATTTTATTACAAAATATAAATCTTATTTCGTCACAATAAATTCTACATTTTCTGCCTCCTAAAAAACAGATCCCAGTTTGTTCTTATCTGCTACATAATACCTAAAACTTACACCTGTAGATCTGTCATGTATATATTACAGTAAACCTCAAAAAGGAAGGAATCTAGGTAGTGTGTATTGGTGCAAAAATTTCACATCGATTCAACTGTTTTCAATTATTTGTTTACGCTAAGAAAAATTGTCCAACTAAGATAAATTTTAGCTAATAATTTTCATGTTAAGTTTTTAGTCTTAAATCTATTCAAGGAAAACAAAAATGCAAACAAATATAGCAAGAAGTTGCAAGGAAATGTTACGAAGCAAACAAAAATTGCTTAAATATAGGAATATTTTTATGAAAAATAAAAGAAACAGGGTGTAAATATAAATTCAAATCAATAGTACTGGTAAATAAGGAATCTTTCGTCAAATAACACAAATGGAAAGAAAGCCCTAACATAAACTCATTGAATGCGTCAGGAGAAAAATGAACAAACAATGGGAAAAATGCTCACATTGGAACGGTGCAATTACCTAGCATATGTACGAGGATTTGTACTAAGGAAAAGTCAAATGGTTTATAAATATTAGACAAGGGGGAAACAAGGAAGAGTTTTAAAGCTTAACATCTAAATTTGTGGGTCCTAATCCTACAAAAGAACAACGCTGTTCTCCAATCAACAAACTTTGCACCCTTGTCCATCTGGTGTCAACAAACTAAACCGCATCAAGTGGGTGCTAACAAAAAAAAAAACTGTTTCGACTCGTGCTGCATTATCCAAGTGCTTAAAATCCTAGCAATCGCTCGCCCCAATCATCGATCCGTAGCCGGATTCCGACGCCGAGATCAGGCTCTTGGAGCAGCAAGGATCCTGATCGACCATCATCGGTGCCATTATTGCTTCATTGGTCTGCAGATCGACGGATAGGATTTCATCCGGGTCGTCCTGTTCCGGGGTAATCTGCTCAGGTTCCTCCGGTGGCGGTGGCGGCTGCGGCGGAGGAACGCTAGATTCTTCCACACATGCTTCCTCCGGTGGTTCTGCTCCATCGGAAGACAACCCATAAGCACACTGTCGCATTCCCCGGCGGAACGCTATCCGCTTTCGCTTTGTCTCTTCGCTGTTGATGTCCGGATATATTCGGAGAATTCTCTCCAGAAAATTATGATCCGGTTCGTCATCGTCGCCTGCTCCATCATCTCGCAACCGCTGGATTCCACTCAAATCACCTTCGTCTTCCCTCTCCAATCCTTCATCTTCTTCGACAAGCCTCTTCCGCTTCTTCCCACGTGACGACTTGCTGGCACTTACCGCCGGTGTGTTATCACAGGGAATCCTCTCGCCCATACTCTCCATCTCCTGATGGTGACGCTTGCGACTCAACAGTCGCAGCTCTATGTCCTCCTTGGCCGTCAAACGTTGTGGGTCCTGATTCTTCGTCACAATCTGCACATTATTTGTATTGGCCAACATCAGCATCGAGAGGAAGTACCGCGCCGTAAAGTCCTCCTGTTTGTTCTCCATTACCTGAGCAAAATTTATCGCTGGCGTTTCCGTTGCCGTCGACTCTTCCGGCCCGAACGAATCAATGATTTCGGTCCCGTACGCATGGATGTCGAAGTGGTTCCTTTTCTCCGATTCAATCAGAATAGGTCGCAGCTTCCTGTGCCAGTTGTTGACCTTTTCGATCAGTTCCTTCGCTTCCGCCATGCTCTGAATGAACTTTTCACTGGTCAGGGCGGAGTTTTGGTCAGATTCGGTAGTTGTGGCTGACGGTTCCTCCGGCACCGGAACCGAGGCGACAGACGACGGTTCCGGTGTTCCTTCCTTGGAGCGACTCCCCCGCAGCGCCTGGTCGTTCTGATCATCTGAGATTCCTGAATCGCGGGACATGGTTCGCGTCGGCGTCGATTGCTGCGAGGCGGGTTGGGTCTTTTCCGGTTCAGGCATCGAAGCGACAGCTTGTTCTTTTTCCGGCTCGGGAACAGGGTTTTGCGATATGTTAGCTTCATCGCGATTATTGTGATCGAAATCCGCAAAGTTGGCAATGTCAGTGTTAGGTCGCGAATCGGCGCTATTTTCGAACCCGAGGAAATCGCTTTCCGGCGAGCAAGGTCGGGACACATTCGACCGCTGGCCGTCACTCAGCGGAGCGAGGCTGTACAGGCCTGTGCCGTTCGGGCCCTGGAGGATATCCGCGTATTCGTCGAAGCCGTGGAAATCTGGAATCGATAAGAGAAGGACACATGATTAGCGTGGTAGAGGGTAATCTTTTGATGGGGTTTTCGAGTCCTATTTGCCATGTTGAAAATAAGTTTGTAATTCTAATTGCAGTCAGGAATCCTTATTGCCGGTGTAGGGGGACGTGAATAAGGAACCGCGAATACCCACAGCTTATGGGATTTTCACTAATGGGCTGTGGTGGATTATCTCATTTGTTTCAATATATAAAGCTATACTGTCTTCGATAAAGTTGTTGTACTTGGTTAGACCAACAAGCCTGTGCTATTCGATTCAGGTTTAATTGGGAACTACGCCGCTAGATGCGCTTTACTTTTACATTACTTATGCGTGCGCTATATTATATGGAATTTGGATCCAGCATAAAGGGTGTCCACGATGAAATTGCCACACACAATATTGATTCGCTAAATTCGAGTTTTCATCCGATTGCCATCAAATTTTCAGGGATTGAGAAATAACTATTAAACTTCATTTTACCATTTTACTCGTATTTTATTTACAGTCCATACGCAAATGCCCGCACCTTGGCCTTAACCCCGGCCATAAGATTCTGCACAACCTGTGAATCAACCGTTTTTTGCATATAAACCCATACTTTCTTCAGTTCCTCGACTGTCTTCACTACCTTAGGTCGTTTAAGAAGGTGCTGCTTCATAATCGCCCAGTACTTCTCGATGGGGCGGAGCTCCGGAGTGTTGGGAGGGTTGAACATTTGCGGCACGAAATTGACCTTATTGTCCGCATACCACTTCAGCACGTCCTTGGAGTAGTGGCATGAGGCCAAATCTGGCCAGAAGATTGTTGGGACGTTGTGGGCCTTCAGGAGAGGAAGCAGCCGCTTCTGGAGGCACTCTTTTATGTACACCTGTCCGTTCATCGTGTCCTGGGTCACGAAAGGTGCACTCCGCTTCCCGCACGTGCAGATGGCTTGCCTAACCAGGAATTTCTTCGCAAATTTGGACATCTTCTGAGTGCGGACATGCTCCGGAACGCTGAACTTATCCTTGGCCGTGAAAAACAGGTTGCCGGGGATCTGTTTGAAGTCGGCCTTCACATATGTTTCGTCGTCCATGATGCAGCATTCAACTTTCGTCAGCATGTTGAGGTACAACTTCCTGGCACGGGTTTTGGCGGACTTGTTCTGCTTCTCGTCGCGATTAGGGGCCTTTTGTACCTTGAACGTTCGAAGCCCAGCCTTAGTTTTGGCCTTCTGGACAAAACTTCGGCTTAGGTGCAGCTTCTTAGCCACATCCCTAACGGAGGCGTTCGGATTTCGGTTGAAGGCCCCAACTACGCGGTTGTGATTTTTGGTGTTGTACGGAATACTTTTTCCTTCACTTCTGGGCTTCCGATCGGTGGTCAACCGTTCCTCGAACCGCTTAATCACTCGCGACACCGTGGAATTCGCGATTCCCAACGTTTTAGCGATGGAACGATGCGAGAGATCCTTGTTCTCGTGATGAATGCGCAAGATTTTATCACGCACGAGCTGTTCGACTCCATTTCCGCGAGTTTTGATCACAGGACTTTAAAACTTGCAGGATGTAAATAATGCACTATGAACTAAATCCACCCAAATTTTCATTAAATTCTACCCAACGGTTAAAAAGTTAGAGCAATTTCATAGTGTGGCAATTTCATCGTGGACACCCTTTATGTCTTGATCCTGGCCATGTAGAAAGTTGCTGTCGTGAGAAAAGTTGTTCAGGTGACCAAGACCATTCGGATGGTTACCATATTAGTTTAGAACTCCCATACCACGCGGCACTAGTGTACACTTGGACTTTCTGAATATTCTGTATCTCAAGATCCTAACCGTATAGAAGGTTACTGTCTTGAGCAAAGTTGTTCAGATGACCACGGTCTTCCGGATGGTTGTCATATTAGTTTAGAACTACCACGCTACGCGGTACTAGTGTGTACTTGAACTTCCTTTATGCTATGTCTCCAAAGCCTGCCCATATAGGATGTACCTGTGCAATGTGAGTATTTCCGAAACAGGGGGGTTGAGGTAAAAGCTTTTGAAAAAAAAAACTGTCAAATACCCTACAATATGAAATATTTTGAAATGGGGACGACATTTACATGTTGAAAATCTATGTCCGCTGCCAATTTGGAATCGAAGATGGCGGCCATCTGTTTTAGAAATGCTATTATACAGGGTGTTTGGTTCCGGGTTTTACATATTTTCAGGGTAGATAGGGCTCCTAAAGTTATGAAAAAATCCCCATGAAACATAGGGTCGGAAATGACTGCTAAGTGAGTTATTCAACATTTTATGTTTTTTTGTATTGCCAACTTTGGTTAGCTATATTTTTTAAATCTTAATGTGGTTTTCTGATTTCAACATACCAAATGAAAGATTGAAGCCTTAGCTATCAATGCTTTCTAGAAAAGAACTCGACTAAAGTTAATTATCATACATTAAAATTGAAAAGTATGTTGAAAGTACCGAAAAAACTGGTGAAATTTCATACATTTTAGTGTTTTTAAGTTGAATATTTTCATTTCTGTTTATTTAGTTGTTCTACAAAACATTCTCCATGCAGTTCCCTAGATTTGTGTCTTTGGTAGTAACCTTGTAGGCTTTATGGTTTCTTCGTAATTATTGATTTAAAACAGTCATAAAAACTTGTGACGTTTTCTTAAAATGCGCTATAGTCACCCTATTCGTTCGTACGTTCGGCTGTTGCAGTGGACTACGCACATGAAATTTTGGTAGAATGTTATTGTAATTGTTTAGGTACATTCTTAACTTTTGATTACCGCACATCTCCTGCGCCGAAAGAAATCATAACTGCGGAGATGTTTCGCGGTATCGAATATTGTTCAGTCTCAGCAGAAAACACAACGATTGACACCGAATCGGCGAATTCTGAGAGCGGAAGGGAGAGAAGTAGGTAGTGGTAATAAGTCGATGTCCTTTTTATTTCATAGCACTCGCAGCTCAGCTGCGGTGCTGATTCGATGGAGGAGTATCAACTCCGCTGCTTCTGTATACACACTTAGATTTTTTACAGGAGTTAGTGTTTTTACTGGATTTTTGGATTACCGACTCGGTTAAAATTCAAATGCCTGTTATTCGTAAAGATTGGATAAAATCGATTTTTTTTTTATTTTTCATCATTACACGGGGTTAACAGAAGTTAATGTGTAAAATTTGGTAACATTTTTCTCAACTTTGAATTTTTCACAGATTTTTAAAATTTTACCGAAGATTTCCGCAATTCAAAAACTCGGTAAAAATTACTGACTCGATAAGTGTGTACTGATGTATGGTTGGTGAAGAGGCTAGCATGTGGAGGGTATTCTCGGGCTAGTGTATGCCACCCATCCCCACTTATAATTCAGTAATACACTATTTATTCATTTCTGTTTGATATGTTTACAAAGTTTGACAAACAGAAATGAGCATTGCAGTGTAGTTACCAATTTTCCAAGTCAAAGACTTCAGATAACTGTTCGAAGTCCCAGATGAAAAATGTTGTTTAAAAAGATGGGCTTTTGTATACAATATTTGCTACATTACATGAAATGTTTCAGAACTTTACATGATTTATAATGTAAACTTATATGATATGTGACACTCCATTTATGTGCATCATACTGAACAGAAATTTACACTACTTTTTCGAACTGTGTGGTATGGATATTTTTGGAACTGGGACGCCTTGTAGACGTCAAATTGAAATTCAAGATGACCACCACGATGACAATGACTGGGCTACAAAATGGTGCGTTGACAACCTGGATGGAGCGGAATACCTAGCTCTGGTTCTCAAGTTCCTACCTCACGCCTCCCCGAGTCATATGATAACAACAGACTACCAGTTGAAACATGGACACAGCTGGGTGGCGTAGCCTACGCAATGTTGCCAGTCCGGTAATAGCAAAGTGAAGAGGTGCGACGCGAACACTGGCGCGGTAACCATAGCACGGTGATAGAAGGAATGCTTCACCAAACCCGAGCGTCAGTTCATGGAACTGCAAATCGCTCGGCTTCCCGGGCTGCGATAGGTTAATCTATAATGAACTTCAACCACGGAACTTCGAGGTCGTAGCACTGCAGGAACTTTGCTGGACGGGACAAAAGGCATTGAAGAGCGGGCATCGAGCGACTACTTTCTACCAAAGCTGTGGCACGACCAACGAGCTGGGAACCGGCTTTGTAGTGCTGGGTAAGATGCGGCAACCGATCAACGCGAGGGTGTGCAAGTTGTGGATTAAGGGCCGTTTCTTCAACTACAGCATTAGCAACGAGACCCGACAACGAGAAACAAGCGCTCTATGACGTCAAAATTGTCATCAGGCAGTGTACAGACCGGCAATCGGGCCAAACAGCCTACGTGCCGTATCGAACAACAACGGCCAGCGATGCGTGAACTTTGCAGCCTCTCGGGGCATGATAGTCCGAAGTAGCTTTTCCCCCGCAAGGATATCCACAAAGCCGCCTGGAGATCTCCTGACCAACACACAGAAAACCAAATCGACCACGTTCTAATCGACGGGAAATTCTTTTCCGACATTATCAACGTCCGCACGTACCGCAGTGTGACCATAGATTCGGACCACCACTTCGTTGCAGTATGCATGCGCTCAAAACTCTCGACGGTGCATAACACCCGTCGAAGTCGAACGCCGCGACTCAACATTGAGCAATTACGGGATGCCGGAGTTGCCCAGGATTACGCGCAGCAGCTGGAAACTACACTATCCACGGAAGAGCAGCTACTCTTGAAGATGGCTGGAGGAACATCCGTTCCGCCATAGGTAGTTCTGCTGCAGCGGCACTAGGTACTGCGATCCCGGACCGAAGAAATGACTGGTTTGACGGCGAATGCAAACTGGTTAGTAGAGGAGAAGAATGCAGCACGGGCGAGAATGCTGCAACACCGCACGAGATTGAATGTGGAGCGATACAGACAAGCGCGGAACAGACAAAACTCGGTTTTCCGAAAGAAGAAGCGTCAGCAGGAAG